ACTGTCAGTTGGTTGGTTAAAATGTAAACTAGATTGTTAAGAAATGGTTCAATTGAGATAGAGCTACCTATTTGTTGATACAAACTGGTATCCGCGACTACGTCTGCTATTTATAGAAACTTATCCTATATTTAATCCCTTTCAGATTATGTTTTGAGATACTTAAGTCATATTTGATTAAGACCCGTCTAGTCGTTTAATAAATAAAATATAATAAACAGATATACAGACAAACTTTTGCATTTATAGCAGGGGTATAGATACGTAATATAATTCTCCAGAGGCTTCATTATGTAACGCTGTTACAAATGGTATACTTATAAAATTCATGGTTTTGCGATTCTGTATAAATAAATTATTTAACAGTTGCCGTGTCTTTAATTTGGAGATGTTGCATTGTTAATTGTAGAGTAAATGACCTTTCACTTTCATATATCTAATATCTGTATTAAATAATATCTAAATAGTATTTACTATATATAAATTGTACCCATAATACAAGTACCACTTAGCTTCGGACTAGGAGATAAATATCTTTTATCCTGGTGGGTTTCTTAAAGAAAAACCAAGGCCACACCATGTATATGTTAATACAATTCATAAAACACACTAAAGTTTTGGAAAGCCTAGAAGGGCTCTAGGCTTTCCAAAATGACAACAGATTAATTTTGTAAAATTCGTAATTACTACATATAAAGGCAACACAAATCGAGATTATAAAGATTTGGAAGAAAGATTCAGATTAAAAAAGTATTAATATTATTCTTATTATTATTATTTAACATGTAAATTAATTAAAACTGTTATCCTTGTTTTGGGAAGGAACTGACTCCTGATAAACATTTCACGCTAGTTTGGGAGTCAGGACTTAACAGGTTTAAATAAATAAATAAAAATTATATTATTATTAAATTATCTGAATCATTATCAACGCTAGGTTCTATTCTTTTCATAGTTAAATGAAACATTAGGAGTTTCTTAGAATGCATAACATTGCGCACGAGTCACCTATGATAATTCTTAATAAAGAACTTGTGTCAGCGAAATGATATAAGAACTAAAGTGATCTTATATAGAATTCTCGTGTCACAATGTTAGTTACCATACTCCTCTGAAATGACTTGACCGATTCTTATGAAGTTTTATATGCATATTCAGTAGGTCTGAGAATCGGCTACTATAAATTACTATTTAGAAGTGTCTGCAAAACAGTCAAATGGAACTTTATGATGTTCACACAAGGATATCATTTACACTGCCACATATGATTGAATTTAAAAAAAAAATCTTTGTAAATTACGTGATTATTCACATGAAATATACACAAATCGGACGACCGTTCTCAAATTACTTCTCATACATGCGGCAATTGAATTCCGCTGGTTTTATATCCTATTAAGCTTTGTATCTTAAAGATTGGAAATTGAAAAGGTCAGGTAATTTCGACAGAACGTAATTACTTTCATTTTTTCTTACGAAACATCGGGAGCTATTGTGTCAGAACAGGTAAAAATTTGATTTTGAGAGAGATTTATTCTCTCTCCGACAATGCTACCGTTAAAGATATTCTATGTACATATTTACTCAAGTGTTTGTGTGTACATCTGGATTGAACAATATACGGAAATCAATTTTTATAAATAATTTATTTATATAGGTCATTTTAGTCATTTATGAACGTCAAGTTTTTTGTAATAATATTCTTTTCCTACCGTCCAGTTCAGTATATAGATTCAATTGAGAAGAACTGGCAAAGAACTCAACAGAATTTCATAATAAAACATTACCTAAAACAAAACAATGCTACTTGTATAAAAATTTGTTGCGTGGTGAAAAACAAAGTGGAGTTATATTCATGGGCTATGTAATAGGAGTCATTATAAAAAAGTATTATATAAACAAATATAAGTGCTATTTACATTGTGCTGAAAGCGTGCCACAATATTAACTAAATAAGTATAAAAAATACAGAGTAAGACGGAGGGTTGCTCTACTTTCGACTGCTTCTGTGAGTTATACAACTAAATTATTATCTTTGTATAGTTGACTCAATATAGTAGTTCACATTGGTGAATACGTTCTTATCGACATATTAACCTTTTAAGTGGGGGTTTTGATTATTCCTTTTACAAACAATATAATGTCGAGTTGTTCTCATATTAATCTTTGTACAGTTTACTCAATATACTAATTGATAGTGGTGAATATATTATTATTAAGTTTAATAAAAATATTAAAACAATTATTATTATTCTGTATACAAACAATATAATGTCGAGTTGTTCTCATATTAATCTTTGTACAGTTTACTCAATATACTAATTGATAGTGGTGAATACATTGTTATCAACGCATTAACCTTTAATTAGGAACTAATATTTTTGAAAGTTTATACTCTTAAAAATATGAGTTCCTAAAACTTAGGTTGATGGTTTTGTATGCTTTCTACAAACGTTATATTATCGAGTTGTTTTCATGTTAATCTCTGTACAGTTGACTCGGTATATTAGTTGACGTTGAGTTGTTTTATTAGGAACTAATATTTTGAAAATTTATACTTTCAAAAATATGTTCCTTAACAACGAAGTCGGAATATTGTTTATTATTTTTACAAACGATATGTTGTCGAGTTGTGCTCATGTTTATATTATTCCGAGTACGTTCCAAATATGGAGAATAAAATATAATGATGTATACGTTATTGTTATGTTTATAACAATCATCTGGATGTCGTCATGACTCACGACGAGGCTCAGTAACACAGTTTTCAGTATTACGGACGTCACACTATACTTAACAAGTACGTAACATTAAATAGTAAGAGTATCAACACTGAATATTGACTATCGATTTCACTTTTAACGAACTAAATATATTTATGTTCGTTTCCCTTTTCACTTGCTTATTTCATCTAACAGCACGTTTTAATTGTAAACTAACTTTTAACCGCGACTCCGTCCGTATGACCGAGATAACTTGATATGATATGAAATATCTTTAGAAAGATTAGAAATGTATAGTATGTAGTTAGTATACATACTTCCGCTGTTCTATTTAATTAATTGTTATAAAATTTAACGCATATGCTAAATTTCATAACAATTAGTTGAGCCGTTACGGTATACGTAATGTAATAAACAAACCCAGTTTCATAATTATAGTATTACTAAAACCAAGAATTTGTAATATTATAGGCACATATAATTTGATGACCTATAAAATTATTAAAACTAGTATAATGCATATTGTTGAAAATTATAAAATACCAAACCAAAACATCTTTGATGAACTGTAAACACTGTGTTGAAAAGAATAGATACCTATTTAGATAAGAGAAACATTTTTTCATGCCTCCCGAGCCGTATGAGCCCGACTAAGGACTCATAACAGAAAGGAAATGAGCACATTCAGTGCAAAATTGAAGTCGTGCTCTGTATGCATAGAGGGCGATAAGGGCGGAGGCCGCGGGTAGTGAGATACCATGAATAACTTAGCGACGAATTTCGACAGTCAATGGACAATATCGTCAGAGCTGAATATGAGCGACGCAAATTTAAAATAGCCATTTCCATTCCACTAATCGAGGTCGTCATCCAACATTCTAGATGCCGATAGTACATGAGACAAAGACGCGTGAGCAGCTAGTTAATCGCGGCACACAATTGGGGTCTGTGCGGAGGCCCGCTTATGGGAAAGTTACAAACATTACAACCATTCATAAACGGTTGAATGAGCGCAAGACGCCTGCGCAGCCGGCGGGCGGCGAGCGCGCGCGCCGACCCCGCGACATCTGCGGTGTCGCCGGCCAACCTCGCAAACGAGGGTCAAAGAAAATTTGTTAAACATCAATAAACACTTGTATTGATCAGTACCCGCCTACCAGTATAAACTGCGCTTTTTATACTCGGTCGAGAGCCGTGATCCAAATTTGACGTAGTAGGTACTACATAACATTTAGTAGACGTAAACGCACCTACTCGTCAGTGCGACCACAGCGGCGGGTGTAATGAACCCGCGCAGTGACAACCTAGTAGCACTCGATGCGTCACCACGGGCGGTGCGATTGAAAAATTCCATACGACAAAAGCCGCGATGTCCGCAAAAGACGCATAAATAATTAGACAATAAACAGGCAGGGCAAGAAATCGGTAATTTGTATCGCGTCGAGATAGGCGGAGCGCAGAGGGAGACGGGTGCAAGCAGGCGCGCGCCGCCGCGGCGCGGAGATGTGGCAACGCGTCAGGTGGAAGTGGCGCCGTGCTGCTCTCGGTCTCGCCGAGGACGACCGACCGTCCCCGGCACCCCGCACCGCACACCCGCTAATCCTCACCCGAACACAATCTGATAAAATTCGCGCCAGCTATGAACATTACGCAAAGCGGTTCTACAACACATACAACACCGTGATAATGAATGACCCCGACTGATTCTTCCATCCTCATGATTCTACAAACTCTACCTGTTATTATACTCTTCACATTTACATAAAATCGAGCACAACCAGTTAAAACTGTAGCAAGAAAGTTATTTCCTCGACCTGGCGAAACTAGTCTTGCGAACGCATTACGGTTTGCGTTATGGCCAGGTGAATTCAAAATGACCTCTATGGGCCGGTGGCTTCTTGTGGCCTCGCTCACCGAAAGCGTTGACATTTTGTGGGTTAGCAACGCAACATGACTCTGTACTGTGACGAAAACGATGCCAGGATGACTAACGGGCGGGCGTCATTACCAGCCTAAACATAAATTGTCCTACACAAAAACTTTAACGCAATAGATCGATTCAATTGTTATATAGCAATAAGGTGAATTTTGTATCAGCGTCCAGTAGAGAATCTAGACTGTCGACTTGGACATCATGGACTCATTATTTAGGAATTCCTAAACATAACAGATGACATATCTCGACAATAGTATTTGCTATTGGGATGGCGTAAATTGTTAAGATTTCGAGAAAGAAAAGTAGGTACCACTTCTTTCATCAATGTAAAAGTCACTTACCAAGGCGAAGAAGTTAGTGTGGCAATCCTCGAGACTAGCACCGTTTGTTTGGTGATTTTGATGCGTCATGGTAGTCCGGGACACTTCATTTTCATTTCACAACACTAAAAACAGGTTCAATTTTAAAGAAACCACTCAAAATCTTAAAATAATCACCGACATTTAGCGTAGTTTTCACCTCTCAATGGCGACTAAAGGAAAATGGCGGATTGGAAACAACAATCCCAAGCCGACAGTGCTGCGTGCAGCGGCCGTCTCTAGAACTAAGTGCAGAAATATGTGACGTTCCATTTCACTTTACCTTATGGAAACTAAAATGGAATTTAAAAATGGAGTACAGTTTGTAATATTATTTAGTTATTATAAATAAGATATCAGCCATAAATTTTAATAAAAAGGTAATTTAGTTACGTTACGATTTCCTTTTTAAAACAATTACGAAGAAATTATTACAAGTGGCTGAAAGTTCAGAGCCTGCAGTTAAATGAAATCGTCGTGTAATGACATATTAAATTTATTATGTCATTTGTCAAAAAACTCAAGAAAGTCAAATTTGATTAAAGAAACTAAAATCTTAATAAAATAATAACTAATGCTTATAAATAAATAATAAATTGTATATTTTCTTACGACTCAAGTTTTATAAATATATAATAATAATTTAAATCATTCTTTTAAAAAATGTTAAGAAACGTATTATTGCCTATTACTCGATCTAGTTTACAGGTTATTTAATTTATATTTATTATTTACAATATTACTGTATTTATAGTAGCAATGATAGACATTAATGAATATGTAATTTTGTAGATTGTACCCGCTCGTAATGTGCAAAAGAAATTACCGAAAGTTGATAAAAAAATACAGGCCGCAGCGGAGTCCCTTGCAGCGCGGGGGTAACTATTCATTACATGTTTCCAAACGATAAACATTATGGCTTATTAAAAAATATATGGCTTAACAACAGTCGATCTAATATAATTCCATACAATTAATTTCAAATACTTACTGTCTCATGTTGCAGATTCTTGCGTCCCAACAAACCCTGGGATCCACCAGTAAATATTGAAGAAACCATTCTGAAGATTTGCACAGATAATGGCTTAAAGGTAGACTCTGAATTTGAAGAGCTGGAGCAAAAGTTTGCAGTACTAAATGCATGTTACGAAGAAACTGGCTACAGTGTTCCTAACTCCCTGTTACACACTATACAATGCGTTGGTAAGTTATGTAACCAACATGTATACATACCTTTAAGTGTTGTGTGTAATTTTTTTTTAATTTTCGATAGCAAAATATCTATAAACTAGTAAGCCATAGTATTGGGAATAAATAGACATTTCTGTTATTCTCTATTAAAACTTTGAATTAACTAATAAGACAGAAAAATATTACATACATTACATAAGTATAATAATCTATACAAATAAATAAAATTGAAAAATTTTTGAACTTGAACTAATTTTATAGTAACTTGGCTATAGAAAAAAAATGTAAATTCCACATTGAAGTCATGTACACACAGCTAGAGTACAAATAAGGCAAAAGTTGTATAAGTTTTATTTGTTCTGCAAAAACTAGTAATACCATTTATTAATTAAACTCAGCATAAATAAAAAAGGTTAGCAACATATTTTCAAACAACTAATTTATGTAATATGATGTTGTCTTAAAAATATTGACTATTATACCTTCTTTTGTCTAAGTCAATGTGTTCATACCTCTCAACTTTGGTTGTATAAGGATTAATAGACTGTACCACTTTGTGACTATTGTGGGTTTACATCCTGTCTAATATAAATAACAATTATAGTTTTCACATGTAATTTATGTACAAATAAAATGTATTTCTGACTGTTGTTTAAAATACAAATCAATGCCATTTTTCAGATGACCTGAAAGAGTTTTATAAATCACCAGTGGAAATTAATACTCCATTTGAAAAATTAGTGAAAATGGATTTGCCGAAGAATCTACATATTCAAGAGAATTATGTACGCTTCCATCCTGGTGAGTGTTAAATATTCCAAAACTTTATCTACACAAGTAACAATTAATATATGATATATATTTGTAAAATTTAGCACTCTGCTAAATTTTCTGACATAGATCTACACCAAGGAAACTATGCAAAACAGCATATGAAGGCATCAAGACAAAAATATTTACTGCAACCCCAACACAAATAGGAACTTTAAAAAGCGTTGAAAAGATCTGTACAGGACAGATCTTTAGAAATTGTAACTAAGAATCAAAGAAAAAAATTAAAGAAGTTAAACAAAAAAGATAGAATATATAGATAGATAGATAGATAAAATATACTTTATTTGTAACACACAGTAAAGAAAAAGGCATGAACAATATAATAAAGGACAACATGTATTGTTACAATAAGTCAGCATTATTGCTGATAGCAATCTTTTCAAGGCAACCTTAGGGAAACGGATTGAATAATGAACAAGTAGATAATAAGCATTTAGGAGAAAACTAAAAAAAAACAAACATAATGATGAAGGAAAATAATAATAAGTATGATATGAATTAGAATTTATGTAAACAATAATAATTATATATGTATTAAACTATATACACTTACATGAACTACATACATCATTTTATTAAAAGCTGATCTATCGAAAAAGGTTAGATCAGATTTCAAACAAAATAAAACACACATTAAAATAAGTGCTTTCGTTTAAGAGCTATGATGCCACATACATTGTAACATCAAACTTCTAAGAGCCCTCTTTTTGCATTGAGGTTTAGAAAGTAATTGTATTTATTTTATTATTTCAGATAAAGACACATTGTTTAATGGAAAATCTGCCTTCCCTAAGAGTTCCACAATAGTTACAGGCTTGAAAACAAGGAAGAAGTATGAAGGATACTCCGCCAAGAGATCCTGGCCTTAATATGGTTGTCTTATTGTTTTAGTATATTCTATTGTACAGTTTTTAGTTAAATATTAAACATTCTTTGCCATTTTATGTTTTTTTTTATAATCTACATAGTAATAATCTGTTCCCATGGTAGCTAACTATAATAATAATAACCATGAACAATTCACACAACGCCATCTAATCCCAAGCTAAGCAAAGCTTCTGTTATGGGTATTAGCAGTGGGGATCAATGGCATAGTAGCCATTTTTAGTTCGAAAAACGGATTTAGATGGCGTCATTGGTATCGAATGGAATTCAACATTGTTTTGTAATCGTTTAAAACCCAAAACTATGTTTTTAAAAAGGTTTAATCTATTTTTAAAAAGGTTTAATCTATTTTTAAAAAGTCATATATAGATGTTAAAATGAAATAATGCGTTTTGAAAAGTAATTTTCATATATTTACTCATTTTGTTGTTGCCCTGTATTTGTTTACAATTTAATCATTGCTAATTGGGGCTTATTGTTTCCAAAATACTTTCATAGATGGCGCTGTTTTCATTTGTATCACCGTATTTTAAATATTTATTTTATATTTTCAAATAATAAGTACTTACTATATTATTATGATAAATTAAACATAAAAAAAGTTTAAGTAAATATAAAACAGCTAAACAAGAAAACCATATTATTCCAGTAATACTTATTTAGAAAGTGTTGCCATATTAAAAATAAATAGATTTATCGATTTTTTCGAATAATCGATAACAAGATATTACAACGCATTATTCGATGGTGCTTTTAATTAGTCTTTGCAAACAGTAAAATTTCATCATTTTGTATTATACTCTTATTTGGAACGAATTGCAATGCATAATTTTTACTCGACGACGGCAAAATAGAGAGATTTTGACAGGTATGCAAGTACTATATATTTATCTGTTCGCTCATAACTTCGAAACTTGAAGAGGGAAATATTAATTAGATTGATCTGATACAAGTGTACTCTATTATATCAACCTCCACGCGGTCACCCTGGTAATTATAGCAATTAATGACATTAGTGACATAGTTCTTCTATTAAAAAAAATAAATACCTACTTATTGTAATTTAATGAATGAGAATTGAATGTGGTATAGAGTATATAAGGTCAGCTATACCTTTATGAAACCTCAATAAACAAGTGTTATATGGTATCTAAATTACTGACATTGGTAGCTAAATGTGAGGATCCTCGAATTTTTAAAAATACTCATAAGAAACTTTACAAATACTGAATTTTGCTTTTGTAGAAGGATATTTTCAACCTTACTAAATTGTACAAGGTTTTGAAACGATAATCATTCATAATACTATGATATATTACTGATCCTAGTACCTACTATTCATGATAATTAGTTTTTTAATATCTCCATTCGAGGGTAGGTTATTCATAATTTATATTATTAGATTTCATCACAAATAAAAATATCGATTTAAAATCGTAGGTTGGTCCATATTTTTTTATTATATCGAAATGACAACGAGTACTGGCAACATAAATGAAATGTTAAAAATGTAAAATATAGGAATAAAAGAATAGGATAAACGACTTTAAGTCAAATGCTTAAAACATATTTTCACTAGCATTGGATTTTTTCTCTTTTTTCATCATTTAAGTTAAGTAGGTACTTCAACTTTTGAATTGTTCCTGTTCAGAGTTCATTGAACTTCTTATTTTTTGTTTTTTGTCAAACTCAATAATTTAAATGTGTCTAAGGACTACTACAAATATTTAGTAAACTATCGTGTCTTTGAGGATTATCTCATACCAGGTATAACTATAAGTTGTTAAAAACTTGCATATGTATGCGTGTGTATCTTTCATATTAAAATATAATAAACATAGGTACTTGGTGACCGCTTTAATGTGGTATTATTATGTTTTTATTATTGTTATGAATGTAACTTCAAAAAACTAACACTGATTTTATAATTTTTGATTGATTGAGAAAATACTGAAAATTATTAATCAAAATAAAGTACTAAACAGTAGTATTATTTTTATATTTTATTAGAACTGAATGAATATGATGTATGAATAATATGTTTATTGTGCTAATAAGGTTACAGTATAGTTACTTTCATGTAAATTCATTCATGTAAGTTCATGAAAATGTAACATGGTATATGATATTGTTTTCAGATTTTCCTGACATCAACAACTTAATACTGAACAAAGTTTAAACAAATAAGAGATGATATTCTAAATCTCCTAGTCATTCAGATGAAGATAAATAACATTTTTACTGTAAAGAACAGGAGTTCAAAAGAATAAGAAATATATATATATATATATGAACATTTTACTGTATAAAATAATAATGCAAGTAAAAATAAGAGAAAAAAGCAGAAGAAAAATCTGTAAATTATTAATCACAATGCAATTAATAATATAATTAAATAAGTAAGAAAGCAACGGACTAGTGATGAGAAGAAATTCCAAGTAATTATATTATGTGTAACTGACTGCAAATAAGTTTATGATTTAAGCTCATGATTATTATTATATTGCTTCATCAACAAATCCAGGAATATTTTGTGTACCAGGAATTAATTATGAAATGATTTAGATGAAATATTATGTCTTGATATTGATTTATTTGGAATATAATATAAAAATAACAGAAGTGTTTGAAGTTTTAGTGGTATAACAGACAAGCAGTGAAAGAAATATTATTGTAAATTATTAACAATTGTTTATTCTGTGATTAATAAATTATTTTAAAGTGTTTTATTACCTGAAATAAAAATTATGATCTTCAAGTGTTGTGTTCATGCAATGTTAGTTTCACCTCATTCGATTTAAAATGTCAGGAATTATTTACTACATAATGATTTTGTATTAGATGGTAATCATATATATTTTTTAATGCAATGTGTATAATAATTCCCATTTACATCAAAAAACTTTGTGTAAATCTATATTTCTCTGTCTATAGACTTTGGTTGTGGAGTACTAATAAGAAACAAAATCTAGAGACTGTAGTATATCAGAGCATCCCAGAACCTTGTATTTAAGTCATATAAGGACTTAGTACCTACCTAATACTTGCTACTTTTTTAATCAATTAATTAATTTGATCTCAATCATCATGATGAACAATGATGATAATGTTGAGAATACTGCCAATGATGAATTTTATGGTGGTCATAAATAAATACCACCGTCACTATCGTCAACAGTCATTATTGATCTCATCATCATCACCGTTACCCTCCTTCATCCATATTGTCAAAAGTTACTACCTACTATTATGAACTGAAATGGTAAATAAGCTGACGATCCATCCAACCACGACGCTATCCGACGTACATAATATTACGTATATATTATTAAACAGCATTACGTCATCATGTCGTGCCCGCTATATCCCGCATACGTTATCATTCCGGAGAACATAGATGTTATGTCCAAATATCCTGTAATTTCGCAGCTTAATTTCAACTGAATAACAACTTACATAAATACCAAAAAACTAGCAGTAAAGGCGTAGTTTGTAGATATCGAAGGTTCTACAAATAGGTATAACATCAAAATAAGTACCTACATGTCATTAGCACCGATGTAGTATCCCTGAAAGGACCTACATATAACAGATTGATGGTTTGCAGATATTATTTTCAGTTTTACAAATTGCCAGTTTACCGTAATTAACTACATATTGAGAAATAATTATATACTGAAAATTATATGAGGTACCCATATGCACATTAATTGATTATAGCTAAAATCTATCACTATCACATAACAATTTAAATAAAAAAAACCGTATTAAAATCGGGCTATTCGTTAAGGAGCTATTGCTCCTTAACCGATAGCCCGATTTTAGTGCAGACGCGTTACGACGTATCTTCGTCGGGAGAAAAAAAAGTAGGCATGTAAAAAAGTAACTGTAACATAGTACATAGATACATAGGTACATTAGCCGTGTCTGTAGACTGTCAGCGAACAATATTATACCTACATTGAATTTTCGATTGTACCCAATCAGGAGTTCGATACAGTTATATATCTATTATGTACGTATCTTTGCAAAACAGATGTCATGTAGACCGAATTCTCTGCCATCTATTTTCATGCTTTATTACTAATCACCCACTAGTAATCCGAACTGCTTCAGATATAGCGACATCTAGCGCCTACGGCGGCGAAATAAAATAGCCCGAAGAATAGCCCGAGTTAGGAAGGAACCATTTTCTTGTATGGGATGGGGTATCTGTATGTAATATTATATTATCTGTGGTATTAGACAACTAATAGAAATACATTTTAAATATATATTTTTTATAAGTAAATGAATAATGTGTATTATAGTGTTCACTTATTTGTTATTTATGTCTTCTTGTATGTAAGTTGTTATCGACGTAATATCGGCTCGTTAGCCATAGCTCCACGTCTTTACTCCGCGGCGCTTGCGCAGGGAAATCCCTTCCCTCTTGCGCACGGCGGTCCGTGTACGCTCGGCTCGAGACGATAGATAATAAACTGCTAGTGTTTCCACATACACTACATCTCTCTCCTTTTTAAGTTTATTTTCTTTTCAAGCATGAATCAATCCACTCTATTAGGTATTTGTTCCTTGGAGGCATGTGTGCTACGTTACACCGATGGTGGACTCATTTTGACACTATACTGCCACACATAAGCCGAATGCCTCTAGTGCGATTGGCCTTTCCAGCGTAACCAGCACCGTGATTTTTCCTCCTCTTTCGAATATAAATTACATTTATATATTAACTCCAATTTACTCTGTGTTTCACATACTTCACCTTTCTTATTTTATATTTGTTTTCATATAATCGTTATTCCACTTTGTTATTGTGTAATATTATGTAAGATTAGTATAAAGCACTTCTGAAAAAATGTTGTATGTTTATGACCAGAATATCTCTATCATAGTAGTCACTACTTTATATTTTGTAGGTTTAAGGTAAATACTTATATTTTTTTTCATTCTATCTGTCTCATGCAATGTGTTATTTACATGCAGTATTTTTCTTTATCATGTACATTTGAAAACTGATTATCTAAAACATAATCTGGAATTTCTTC